CTGTGGGCCGGGCCCTGGTGTGCCCTCTCCCCTTTCCCTGCAGGATTCCCTCCCCAGGGCACTCCCAGCAGGATTCTGCAGGATAGCTGCAAGGTGGAAGCACAAACACATCTCACTCACCATGGCACCTGGCACAGACACTCTCCTTGCTCTCCTTGGCCAGAACTCCTTGTCAGTTCTGGGTTTCTCCTGCCTTCTGTTCTCCACCTGATTTTCCTGTGCTTCCTGGGCAAAAACCAAGCTGTCCCAGGTAACCTTCCTAAGGATGCTCCAGTGGAGCTATGTTTGGGGCAAGTGCCTGTTCCTGCACGTTTTGGGGCGCAAAAAACCCTCACAGGCAGGGCTGGTTCTCTTGTTCATTCAGGGACTAACCTTCAGCTCCCATTCAGGCTTTTGCAGCAGTTCATGAGAGCTGGGACTTCTCATGCCCTCAAGGATCTGAGTCGTGTGACCAATGCAGTGAAAAGTTATAATCTAATGCATCCATGAGTATTCTGTTCAGAGCATCCTCCATATGGTAATTATTAATAATATAGTTATGAAAAAAGTTCCTGTTCCAGCTCTCTTTTAAACAGGATTTACACAGCCATCTGGTATTCTGTTCAATTCTTTTTTTTTTTCTTTTTTTCCACCAACCCAATTTATGTGTCTTACTGTTAATTAAATTAAAAGAGCTCTTGCTTTGTGGTGGTTATGAACAGAGCTGCTGAGAATACTGAGATGGGCACTCAACATTTGCAATTAAAAGAACAGAGCAATGACAATTTTGCAATTGGGAAAGAAAGGAAATGAATGTCACCTCCTGCAGAGGAGCAACAGCTTTACACCTACAGAGAAGCCACAGCTTTACACCTAAAGGTAAATGTTGACACAAGACCCCTGCCAACATTAAAGAGAGACAAGAAAGTATCATATTGGTACAGACTAAAATGAGAACATAAAATATAAAGGCATCTGTGCAGCTGATATACAGCTGCAAAATGGTTTTGTTGTGGGACATTAAAACTTTATTTTTCTCACTGTTGGCTGTACAAGTCTGTACCTCTCACAAATAGAAATCATATTCTGGCTTAATTAGAAATGAGTTCACACACAGAAAAAATGTGTGCTACCCTTATATTTCAAGTATCTGGGTGAAAACAAATTGGTTTGAATGTTTCAAGAAAAGAGAAAAAGCATTAATATAAAATTTTTAGTCAAGAACACCGTAGGTTTTCAGATGTTGTAAACCTCCATGAGGAGCAGCTGAGGGTATCCATGGCCCACAGAGCTCATGGTCCTTGGCATCAGAACTTGAACATAGCAACTCAAGTGACTTTTGGTTATAATCCACCAAAGCCACCTGTTCCACCTCAATGCTGCTCTTTATTTTGCCACTTCTGTGAGCAGCTGCTGGACTCCTGAAGTTTGCTGTCACTGTGAGAGCTCCCAGCCTGTGCTCCAGGGTCCAAGTGAACACCTGAACAGTCTGGCTGCAGCATCATCAGAGTGCTTGGCTGCCCTCCCTGCACCCAACCCTCCTCCTGCCTGTGCCCCTGCAGTGCTGGGAGAGACAGAAATCTCTTATTGGCTGAAGAGTGCAAGTGCAAAGCATCACTAAATAAACCAGGGGAGACAACGGTAAATTTGCAACAATCCCATAACATGGGTTAAAAGTTTAGTTCTTGGAAAGAAGCCAGGACTCAGTAAATGCTTAAGTGGTTGAAAATTGTTTGTTTTGCTCTTGATGAACTGTTTCCATTTTAATAATTTTCAAGGATTCATTAAGACAGCTGATCTAAATCTGGAAAACGTGGGCAGAGGACATTTGAGTGATTTTTTTTCAAAAATCCTGAGACACAGAGTGATTATTTAGTTCTTTCAGAAAACGAGAAGAATAACAGCAATACAGCATTTTTATAAACAGCTTTGTAAACTACTGTAATTTTAGGTTTCTCCTTGCTGCAAAAATATGTAAAAGCAGAGTTTCTTAATTCTTCAAATATCTTTTTATAAAGTCTTTGAATTAGAACCTTAAGCTTCTCAACCTCATCTCATATGTGTCTGTAACATGCTTTGCAGAAAAAAAGGAACAAAGAGACCAACAAGTGAAGCCTGTAAATTTTGCTGCTTTCTTGAATGACTTTACAAGATTCATCTCAAACTTTATAAATTAGGAAAAAAGATAATGATCTATAAAACTGTGTCCTTTCACTTGAACAGAGAATTGCTTTTTTGAAGTTGAAAATGAATGAGGTAACAGGGGACTTTAATTGGAAGCACAGAAGGAAAAATGCAGAGACGGATCACTTAGGGCATGGACAAAAACTTGCTGTAGGTGCCAGCTGCAGCATAACTGAGCAGAAGAGGTAAGAAGGCTTCAGCCCTGATGTAAACACAAGATTTTCCTCAGATAGCTGTGACTGCAGTGACTGCACTGTATGAGGACAGTGAAGTAACAAAGAAATTTAGAAGAACAAAGAAGATTTTAAAAGATTTTGCAAAGGTCTGATGAAACTCTGCAGATGCAATTGCTCTTCTGTCTGAGGGTGGGAGTCCTTGACACCTTTCCCAGACTCTAGAAATAAAAATGTGATGAAATACAGACTGCATCAGCCTCTGTAAAAGTAAAATAATGGATATTAAATAATAATTTCCAGTGTGTTTCATGGTTCTCTGCAATATTTCATCAAGCAAAGCCTATTGTAGGCACTGAGTATTAGTATGGAAATGTGAATTAAGAAGCTAATGCTAGAAATAGATTTTTTAAACATCAAATATTTCTTAAAATTTCCCATGTGAGTGCAAATATTTAGTCTGGATATGAACTTAATGAAAAAATAACTCATAACCACTAACATTTATTTTTTTTTTTCATTTGTCAGACCATTCTGAAGTCCCTGAAGTTGTTTTGTATAAAACTCCTGTGCAAGCAGGGTCATCCCAGAGCACATGACACAGGATTATGTTTGGACAGTTCTTGAATATCCCCAGTGGGGGAGACTCCACACTCTCAATCTATTCCAGTGCTAGGGCACATGAACAGTCAAGAAATTCTTCCTCCTATCCAGGCAGAACGTCCTGGGCATCAGTTTTTGTCAGATGTCTCTTGTCCTGCTGCCTGGAGCACTGAGCAGAGCCTGTGCATCCTCTGGACACCCTCCCTGCAGACACTGACAGGTGTTGATGAGCTCTCCTCTCAGCTCTGCGCAGGCACAGCTCCCTCAGCCTTTCCCCAGAAGAAAGATTCTCTGGTCCCCTAATTATCTTTATTCTCTGCTGAACCCCTTACAGGAGCTGCACATCTCTATTGTACTGAGGAGCTCAGAACTGGACAAGGTCTAGTCAGGATGAGTCATTAGCTTTGAAAAAGTGACTTGAAATTTACAGAATCTGTCCAAGAATCAGTTTATTAAATATGCATAATACTATACCCTCTCTATTATAGGATTTCCTTAAAATGAAAATGGATTTCAAAGCACAGGATTTGTACACATAAACCTAAATATCTGTCTGTCAAGTGTATAAAAAGCTTGCACCTGAAATGCTTTGCCTCTTAAGGAATTAACTACCCTGTTACCATATCATGATGTCTTTGTTCAGTCAGTGTGACCAATATCAGCCTGTTATCATGTCACTGCCAAAGCCCAAAGCCATTTATCTGAGCGTGCCTCTCTCTCCCACAGACTGAACTATCTTGTTTTTGAATTAGCAGTTAAATACTCATCTTACACATAGACACACACCGGCTGCTGAAAAGAATGTGCTGAAAACTGCTGAGCTGAGAGTCATCATGAGACTGCTGAGTGCTCGGGTTCACATCCTGTAATTAGTTTAACAGTCATTACCAGTGTGCAACAGGTTATGAAAGGACATCCAGAAAGGATGCTCAGGTTTCCTGGGCTTAGGAAGATATTTACACACTGAAAGATCAACTGTACATGACCTCCCTCGGGTGCCTTAGGTCAATGTTCATGCATTGTGCAAAGTTTCACATATAAATGGTAAGAAATGGGGGAATGTCCCTCTGGAGCCAGGTAAGCCAGGGGGAAGTGCTCAGAGTGGCACAGCAGCTCCAGCTCGTGGTCTTGGTATCAGAGGGATGACACAAATTTTTGGAATGATAAGTGAGCAAAGTAGCACGGGAGAATTCACACACTGAAAAGGCTTGAGGATCTGTCAGAGGTCCCTTGCAATTCAGAATGTTCTGTGATTCTGTGACTGATGATTCTCAGGCCATGGATCACTGGGCACTGATCCATGATGAGGTACTATCTGTGTCTGTTAGATTCGTTCCTTTTCTGAAAGAACACCTGAGCAAGCTTGGCCTCCTGTCACCAAAGTAATAGTTTCAATAACTAAACTTGACCCAGCTTGTTGAACATCTGACTGAGAGTGAACTGAGATGTTCAGCTTGGTTTTGGTGACGGAACAAAGAAGAGACACAACATCCTAGGAGGAAATATTTGGCTCCATACTACGTGCTCCTGCATGAAGACATTTAATTTCAAATATGTTTTAAGATTCTCTTTAATTAATGGCTTTCATAACAGGAAAAGACCTTCTCCAGCCAGCGCAGCGGCACAGTCAAGAGGCAAAATGAAGCAGGTGGTGGGTTTGGGAGGGGAAAGAGAGAGCAGATGTTAGCTTGAAAATTTGGAACACTCTTCAAGTCCCGTAGCAGGAGCCCAGTTTCCATCAATGCATATTGTAGGAGCAATTAATTGGGACCACCCAGGCCTAGAATCTGCCAGAATAACATTTTCCATTCACACAACACACTTCTGTAAGGCTGAATAGTTGTTTCAAATACTTCTAGAAGAATTTATTTTTCATTTTGCAGATAACCTTCTCCGTATTAAAGGGTGTGAGAAAATGCAAATCAAGCCACGAGTAGCTAAAATTCTAGGGACAGTCCTGGTCCCACTGAAATCCATATTTTGTTTATTTTTCAGGTGGCATCAAGGAAGCATAATTAAATGTGAAGCCATATGCCCCAGGGACCCAAAGGAAGAGCTTACCTTTTTGACCTCGTATTTAATAGCAAGTTTAATCCTGCTCAAACTTGGCCGGTGGTGCTCAGGGCACAAGTGGATGTTCACATCTCCATTCAGAATAGCCTCCACTTCTTCTGTGTCTCTGCACAGGTCCAGCACCCCCACCACAAAGTCCTTGCATTGCATAGATAGCTTCCTATAGTCGTTCTGAGGAAAAACAGAGAAAAGGTGTTTTATTGTGCACTGAGAGCTGGGCTGCAAACAGGCAAATGAAAAAAGGAAGAGAGAGCAGTTGTGAGAAAGGTTATTACTTCTGCAAAACTACTGCCTGGAAAAGCATTTGATTTACACAGCATGTCAATGGCTTTTCACAAAAGTACAGGAACTCCTCCAGACTTAATTAGCAATGTCTCTATCAGCAGCAGAGTTTGCATGGCAATAGAACAAGTTTTACAGAACAAGTAAATAATTTCCAGGGAAACTTTGATTTTAAGCAATCTGCATGGTGTATCTCTAGGAATGTAAAAATATGGCCAAAAAAAATGGTCCTGCTAACTGGTAAAAATATACAGCAAATTTTCAGTTTAGGTTCTGTCCTACTAATTCTATCTTTCATAACTTTTAAGAAGTTTCATTTTGCTACAAAGAGCTGGAGCATCACACAGATGTGTTCAAATTAATTATATAGTTATAATACCAACTTCAGCCTCAAATCTTAGAATTTAGTTAAACATTCCTCAAAGAGCATCCAGATCATTATTGTCACAGCACCTCTCCAAGACATGGAACTTCAGAAACTCAACATGATTTCCTGTGATATAATTTCACTTTGCAAACCCAAATTACACTTGTGGGGAAAGAGATAACCTGTACCTGACTTGACAGAGGGCTAGAAGAGCAATTTCCCTGCCTTAAATTAAATTGTGATCGATTTTCACATGAAGACACTTAAAAAACGAGGAAAGTGCCACCATCTAAGTAAATGTTGTAAATTAGAACACAATTAAGGTTACCATTAATATAAAAAAAAGGTGATATTAAAGGCTTTATGCAACAAATAGGAATGATAAGCATAAGACAGGCTCTAACTGACTTGAGAGATCTTTTCAAATTAGGTTTGATGAGTTAATTAAATTCAGTACCTTATCTAATTAAGCCAGCAGCCAAAAGAATAAGATAGTTAGACCTGGCTTTGATGAAATGAGAAGGGTAACCTGGCTTTGTGCTTCTGTATTTCCTAAATTATCAATTCTATCATTTACACATAGCAACATATTAGCCTTCCTTGTTACACGAAGATCTCAAAGCACTGTACAAACATTCATTAATTAGTTAGAACAGCACTGTCTAAAATACGTAATTAGAGGTAGCTTAACTTCTTTGGCCAGTTTTTCCCCTTCAGAACTGAAATTATAATGAATTTCTTAAACCAGTTGGTTTAATGACTTTGTCATAGGTTTGAGGTTACTTCTCCCATGAATGTGTGTGTGTCCCAGCTTCACTTTTCATGCAGGGAAGAGCTGGGATGAGCACAGAATAATGCAATAATCACAGGGAACCAGAAAGCCCCTCAAGGCTCCAAGTGGGGCATGCTCACAGGAAAGGGAAGAAGTCTTTTCTGATCTGTGTTTAGAAGGGGCTGAAGACAGCTGGGGAATAGCAGGGATTTTACTGCTGACACCTTCTGCAAGGTGAAACTTGTATGTTTATGTCCTCTTATGTATCAAACAAGTTTAGAACCGAGTTCCTCTTTTTGTCCTTGAGTGTTGTAATCAGACCAGGTGTTCTAATTGTGTTGTTAATGGAGAGGAGCAAGAACTTCAAATGTTCATTTAGAGGAGACAGGAGTACAACAAACAGATCTTTATCGGGGTGAATGCCCCATTGCAGAAGCTGGGGCACCAAGACTTCCATAAATGTGCCAAGCTAGAGAACTAAGATTTAAGATGTCCTCATGTCTTGGGCAGAAAATGATGGTCCATTTACATCTAAATGTAGTACCTGAGCATTTTGTGGAGATAGATAGGATTTGTGGAGTAAATGTTTTCAAATACAGGGTGAGGTAAGGTCGGAAATGTAAATGAAAGACAGATTGCACTTTATGGCTTCAAAGCACTCCTCTCAAATCAATTCCATGCTTTAATCTTCCCCACAAGATGAATTTCAATAAATTGAAAGCTTGCCTCTTCACTGAGAGAATAGATGGCGAAACAAAAGTATCAGCCTCAAAATAACTACAGAAATAGTGAAGGGCAGCAAATACAGATAGATCTGAAAACATGAGTAGGGTGGGAATAAAATGCTTTGCTGCTACAGGTAATGGAGATGCTTAATAAACCCAGCAGCTTTAAAATAACCAAGGTTGAGAACTCTGCTGAGCTTTAATACCATTCTCTATGTGATGTTTGCAAAGTTCACAAGCTTACCTCTTAACCAGCACATTTTAGGTAATTCTCATCACCACTTCCACATCATCTGAACAACTAGTTTGGATTGGATTAGTTTAGATTAGATTAGATTAGATTAGATTAGATTCTTTTCCCTCTTCTCCTTTCTTTAAGGAAAGACATTTGGTAGCAGCTAGAAAAGTGCTTCCAAAGCATCTGCAAATGGCAAGTTCCCAGCTGGCAAACTCTGTCAAGACCCAGCTTTATGCACAACTCCAAGCTTAATGTTTTTACTGGTTCTGTACATATGTAGAAACTATGGATGTTTTCCTCATTCAAAGCTTTTTACTCTGATTTTTAAGTAGACACAAGCAGCCATACATCCTATCCAAGATACATGCTGTAGAAAGAATAGAATAGAATAGAATAGAATAGAATAAAATAAAATAAAATAAAATAAAATAAAATAAAATAAAATCGTATAAAATAAAATAAAATAAAATAAAATAAAATAGAATAAAAATAAAATAAAATAAAATAAAATAAAATAAAATAAAATAAAATAAAATAAATTGCCCTCCAGCAATTTTGCAGCCAGGCAGGAGGGCAGATTACATCTCTCAGGAGACTGCTCATCTGTTAAAACAAGTCTCAAAGATCACTGAACCCGCTGTGTCTTCTGATGATCCCTTTTACAAAACCATTTGTCATCTTTGTTCTGGCTTCCTTAATGCTCACAGTCATCATAGAAAATCCTGATCACCCTGATGGTGAGAACACACTCAATGACTCTCCTCATGTCAGGGTATTTCTCTCAAGCACATATTATTCTGTATTTAAAACTGAGATTAACAGAGGTCTGACAGCCAAGCTTCTCCTGATCCTGGCTTGCAAAGCACAGTTCTGGTGACGCAAGCAGAAATTCTGTACCTGCACCTAAAATCCTGTCCTGTGAGTTCTGACGCACAGGAAAAATCCCAAGGAAGACAAGAAGATTTATTTACAAGCAGCATCCAAGCTCTACTGGTGTTTGTGCCAGCACCACATATTTCACACGTTTGCCTGTATTGCACACATTTGGAAGCATCCAAGATGCTGCATTCCCTGCAGGAAGGAGTGCTGGGACAGTGGCTGGAAAGCTGCACCCCAGGGCAGAGATTAGCAAGGGGTGGGAGGAAGAGGTGAAGGACAACAAGGATGCATTTCTAGGTACTTCCAGACACTGGTGAGCAGTTCCAGCACTTGAGGAAATGACCTGAAGCTGGGTCAAGAGAGGTTTAGTTTCGATATTAGAAAAATATTCTTCACCCAGAGAGTGGTTGGGCACTGGAAAAGGCTCCCCAGAGCAGTGGCACAGCACCAAACCTGACAGAGCTCAGGGAGCTCAACACTCTCAGGAACATGATGGTATTCTTGGGGCTGTTCTGTGCAGGGCCAGGATCTGGGCTTTGATGGTCTGTGTGGGCCCCTTCAAACTCAGACCATTCTGTGATTCTCTGTGATTGTTGTACCAAGGTTTTTGAAGATCATAGCCCTGAGGACCCCCATGACTCTGCCAGAACACCGAGGGGCAGATGGCCACTGTGTCTTGGGGTGCAAAGGGACAGTCTGCACTTCACCACTGCCCTGCCAGCCAGGTTTGACCCCTAAACCAGGCATGCCATGGCCCTCCTGTCAAAGTGAATTTTGTGGAGAACCATTCTGGACAGGCAGTGGGAGCAAGTGAGATCAGACTTGCACCACAGCAAGAAACTCAGGGCTGGAGACGCAAAATCCAGCTCAGTTCTCCTGGCAGTGCAGCAGAAGCAGACATGGGCAATGACAACATCCCAAACCTTCCCAAGCACCCCAATTAGGTGCTGTATTATGGAAGTCTGAGGATTATGAGGCTCATAAACCAGATGGATTTTTACAGTAATGAAAATTGCAAATCACACATGAGAGATGCTGGGGCCTCATCCTCACAGGCTGAGCGCTGTCAAGCCTCAGGGAGGAAGATGAGGGATAAAAGTAGGCAAGAGAGCCATCCTGTTTCAAATGACACATGGAAGAGAATTTTATTTCCAATAGAGGCGGTGAGCACAGAGGGATCAGGATAATGCCTGAGAATGTGACAATATCATTTTTTAAAAACTAGAACATAATAAAAGTATTCCAAATTAGTCATTTCCTGCTTCTTCTAACCCTGTTGTGCATGTGGAGTTAAAAATTTCTAATTTTGCTGTTTTGAAAAGGCTGATGGTACTTGTCATTCACTGCAATTTCTCTGAGTACCCTATTATTATCTGTTGATTATGTTCTAAATGAACTCTGTCATGTCTCCACATCTGTTCAAAACCAACCAGATTTTTTCAGAAAAAAGCTGTTTCAGGTCAGAGAGATGGAGTTTGAGTAAAAAGTTAAGTGAAATGAGAAAAACTAAGTCCAGAGACCTATCTGGCATTTCTGGGTAGCATTAAATTTGCTGTACAAGTGAAAGCTGTAGGCATATTGCATGGAGTCTCTTTTTATGTTTCTTTGAGCTCTTGGCTCTTTGTATTTAATCTCCATCACACATAAACATATATCAAAGAGAGAAATATTACATTGCTTAGATTAGCATTTTGAGAAGGGACAGCAGAAAAAAAATGGAGAGATAATTCTGTAAATACGAACAGAAAACTCCCCCAAGTAAAGATTATTGTAGAAAGAAAACAAAGCTGAGAGAAAGGAGGGGGGACAAAAAGCAGAAATATTTCATGCAAGATTTGAAATGAAATTTTTAAATAAACCATCATGTCAAATATTCAAAATGCTTATAAATATTTACCGATTAGATAC